GTGCAAAGCACTCACATTATGCAACTGCTATGACTATTTTTGCCACCTGCCAGTATGAAGCTCTCCAAGTCAAACAAATAATTCATTAAATTATTACATGCAGTTTCTCACCTAATTAGGGCTCACCATTATTTAAAGCTCCCTTTGTTCGACAGTGGAAGTGACTGAACTGGAGTCACTGAGGAAAATACTGTAGATAAATCAATCTTAACAGGGTCACATGTCTTGATAAAAAGCTAAATAACTTCTCTTTTTAATCACCAGCTGTAACCTCAGGCTTTAGAGGGAAGAAATTAAGATGATTAAGTTACAAATACCTGCAATAGAAGGTAACAACTGATCCAACAGGACACCAGGTGTGCAGGGGTGAGAGTCTCACTACATCTCATGTCCCTGGGGCTAAATTAAATCCTGCAGTGACCCCGAGCCCTGGCAATAATGGAGCTTCAAACCCCTCAGCATCTTCACAGACAGGGGTTGTGACCAGCTCTAGAAGTCCCCATCCAGTTTAGATGGAAACAAACTGCAGCCTTGTAGTTACCCAGTCAGTGACTAAGTGCTCATTAGCAACCAGACATGTTAAAGCAGGTGAAAAACTCTCCAAAGCTGGTGGCCAGAACACCTGGAGATGGGATTCACTGTTGTGTTTTCCAAGAGGATGAAACAAAAAGGTGGCACCAAGGTGACACCAAGGCTGGGCCAACCTGTTCCAGGTGGCAGTGTCCCTCACCAGTGCTGCATGGCCCTGTGGGGCTGCTCCTCTGCCACTCACCAGCTCCTCTTTATTACACCTCATCTTGCAGGAGTTATTCTAAAGAAAAGATTCATTACTGTAGTGTGTTTTTTTTTTAATCCCTACCTGCTGCAGAGCAGAACATCTCACCTGCCAATTCAGCCAGGGCTACACCCAGCCAGTTTTAATTCTGATGGATAAAAAAGGGATTACTTCAGCCCAACTGTGATCTTCTTGTAATAAGAGATCAAGCCCAGCAGAGCCACCTTCCTATTGGAAGGAGACAAGAGAAATAAAAAAGCCTTCAGGAAACATCAGATTTCCCCCTCATGCCTGCACCACAGCTCTTCTTTGGTTACCAAGACACTTTGTCCTCAGCTGGGGAGAAGCCAGGGAGCAGCCCTCTGTGGCTGCTGCAGACACATGGACTTGGTGACCTTCTGACAGGCAGTAGCAGCCCAAGTTGGTTTTTCTCCTTGCACTGCAACCCTGTCACAGGTCATGATGGTCGAGCAGGCAGAGGGTGTGATCCAGTCTCTGGATCTGGGACACTGGCTGACAAGGACAGCTTCCACTCCCCAAATCACTTGCAAGGCAGGAAGGAAATAAAATGTGATGGACTATTTTTCTCTAATATAACCCTTGTTAGTCGATCTGCAGCTGGTAGCTAAGTGCTTCCTTTCCCTCCCTAAATATAGATGAAAAGCTCAGCATGGAACAACTTCAACGCCTTCCACCCAACCTCTCAAGCTGCCTGCAGGAGCAGCCAGGGCACATGAAGCCTTCAAGTCCCATCTAAGCCCCAGGGCTCAGACATGGGCTGTGCTGGAAAACCCAGTGGGAAGGAAAAGGCCAGTTCCTTGGTTGATTTCTTTGTTGATGGGAGTGATGAGCACCTTTGGCCAGGCTACTGTCTCCCCCCCAACTCATTTCAGTTCAAACTACCTGCAACACCTGCCCTGGGCACCCTCAGTGCTGCATTTTGGTTAAAGGAAATGAAATTATTACAGGGACCTTTCTCAAAGCACCTGCTTTTGGTCCTTTTGTGGAGGCCAGGCTTTCCCTGCCACGCTGGAGAACATAACACCAACCCAGACCAGATTCACCTGGGAAATAACCCAACTGGGGAGCCAGGGGAGGGCGAGGCACAGGACTGCACCCAACAATGAGGGAACCTCTGGATCCAGGGTATGGACCAGGATCTTCTTGGGGAAGTCTGACATCTCCATTTCTGAAGGTATATAAGGCTGATGGTAGCAACTCCTCTGAGCCCACCAGCCATTCCTTCCACCCTGTTAACCAAGACCTCCAAAGAGATAAAAAAATAAATAAAAAATGGATTTCAGGACTATTCCCTGTGCCTTGCATGGCTAATTGACCTGGAAATCAATCCCCACATCCCAGGGAAGAGGCAGGGATGCTCACATGTCCCAGAGAACTTGCTAAGGGCCAGATCAGGCAGCAGCAGCACACGATACCAACAGAACTCATGATAAACTTGTGGCTGGAAAGCAACAGGGAGAACTTGGCTGGAAAACAACCCACTTGCAAAAGCCAGGGAAGTATTTAAATGCCCAGAACAGGAGAGATAATTACCAGACAAACATTTCCACATAAAGGAGAATGAAGCAAACACACGTGTAAAGATAATTTAACAAAGCTGGAAGAGAGTTTTACTCCAGAAATTACCAAGCTGCCAACTTTCATTCAGAAAAGCCTTTGCTGCCCCTTCTTGGGCACTTCTTCAGGTCTTCTCAAGGATATATTTATTGTCACAACCCAGGAAAAGCAGCCACCTAAGGGTTTTCTCTGGAAAAGGTTACTTGAATTAACTGTTAAATTATAAATTTGCTGATGTGTCAATATCTCAGCCAATTAGTTCCCAAGCACTGTAATAAATCAGATAGTTTTGTGGCATGGTGCTGATAGGATTTGCTATGAAGCAAATATAATTACTCCAAAATTTAGCACTACTGCTAAAGAAAAGAATCAAGGAGGATGGAGCCAAAATGCACCAGGAATCTCTAGAGGAGAGACAGAAAGCATGCAGGGGGAGTGGGAGGGGGAGCTCTGGCCCCTGTGGGAGCCCAACCCAGGGCAGGGCTGCACCCAATGCTGCCTGGCCTGGCTTGTCCTTCAGGGTTAGGAAGCTGATACCCAGTTAGCCCTCCAAAAAAAGCAGGAATACCAGTAACACGTTTTTACAGGTCACAGTGAGCAGGGTGCAGGTGCTCCCTGTGTTCTTTTCTGGGGCTGTGTGGAGTGTAACAGGAAAACATCCCTTTTGCTGGAAGGCTTCGATTTCTGAGACTTCAGAGTCTCCTGGGATGGTGCTGGGGTGCCAGATCCAAAACTCTCTGGGGTTAAATGGGACACATCTCACCTCCCAAGACTCACCAAGTGCTGAAGGCTTCCCCAAGCATCTGGAAATGCAGAACACTGGGACACCAGAGAACCACTTCTGGTCAGCAG